AAATAAAATGATAATAATAATAATATGATAAAAATAATAATAATACACAAAGCAAGTGATGCACAGTACAATTGCTCACCACCCGCCGACCGATGCCCAGCCAGTCCCCGAGCAGCGGCCCCCCCGGCCAGCTTTCCCCAGTTTATGTACTGAGCATGACACCACATGGTATGGAATGTCCCTTTGGCCAGTTTGGCTGTGCCCCCTCCCAGCTTCTTGTGCACCTCCAGCCTTCTCAGTCAGTAGAGCATGGGAAGCTGAAAAGTCCTTGGCTAGTGTAAGCATTACCTAGCAACAACTAAAACATCAGTGGGTTATCAACTTTGTTCTCATCCTAAATCCAAACCACAGCACTGTACCAGCTACTAGGAAGGAAATTAACTCTATCCCTGCCGAAACCAGGACACCAAGGCATAAGGGATTGGAGAAGGGTACACACAGGAACAAAGAGTTTATTTTTTTTGTGGTCAGAAAGCATGCGAGATAAGCCCCTAGGAACCAAGAAGCAGCTGACAGAAGAGTGTTATGGTTCTGGTTTCTTACATGTATCTAGCCACGCATTTTTATGGACAAGTGCAACATAGTAATATGAAGAAATAATTTGGAAGAATTAGTTTTCATGTTTAGTAGATGGATATTACATTTAAAAAATGACTTTTTTTCTGTAAAGTTTTATGCATTAAAGAAATAAGAACAAGGTTGTAAGAAGCTGTGAGAATTTTTTTTCCTTTTAAAATACCAAATATCTAGTCTAACATTCCCTAGTTTTGCTGGCTGAATCTCTTGGAGATTTAAAAATCAATACACTGTGAGCTCCAGAACTTCAATGGGTTATGCACATAAACATTTGAAGAGACTCTCTGTTTAAGATTCATTAAGCACCAGAATTAAAAACAAGCTGCCAAAGCGCATACAGATCAGTGAGGTTAGATTTGGATGTGGGTCTTTCCTTTAAAGATCCCTAATCTCATACAGAATTGCAGTAAAATGAGTGAGGCTCGGTGGGGATGAGTGGGTTATAAGCAAAAAAGGGGAGAGTGCCGTACGAACTCATTGCAAGATACAGAGTTAAGCAGTGACAGTATCTCCCTCCTCTCCCCTGCTTAACTTTTAGTACCCTATAACTATACTTGCAAAAGCTTCTCTACTTGCCACCATCTCTTAGCTAGAAATTTCTCGTGCAAGTACAATCCTCCATTTTATAGCCCTTCTAAACTGCACCTGTAGACAAGCCCCCTGCGTCTAGAATAACTGCAATGCACCTTTCCTTCTCCAAAATCTGCTGGTTTTAAATTTGATGAAAAATATAGGATCTGAAGTACAAAAAATTCCTTTTCTCCCTTAACTCTGTCATTAGCCTGAAGTGTTGCACAACTAAATCTAATTCTTGCCATAAAGAATGAATATGGGCACAAGTAGTCTCAAAATAATGTAAAAAACATTTCTGCCTTTAGAGTATACATATGCGTCGCCAAAGATAATCCGCAAGAAATACAAAAGTAAATCTTAATATACTGACTACTCATTTTTGGTAGTGCTTATTTAAGTAACAAGAAACTAATAAGGCAAGAACTACTAAGGGCTTAAGTTCAAAAATGTAAATCAGAGTACGCCAAAGGCATACTCCAAATTTACTCAGGTGTAAATTTGTGATCCATGCAACCTTCTGAAAAGTCAGAATTACACAGCAACTTTAAATTAATCCTATGCAACTTGCATAGAATTTTCCTGCTTTAAAAAAAGCCCACAGTAAGTGCACAGGGTTGTAACAGTCATAGGGGTAGTTGTTATTTATTTATGGGATTCCATACTAGTGTTCAACTTTGAATCAAGCATATCCACTTAGCTAGACAGACTCTTTAATATGCAGCATGAGTGAGCGGCCTTCATGATTACATCCAGTTCTCTCCAGGACCTTCAAATGTAACACTGAAACCAGCTGAACACAACGAACAGGCTGCTAGGGAAAGATCAAGTCCAGAAGACTTGCCTTTACCACCAAACCAACCTAACTACAACTAGTGTCTTGAAGCTTATGAAGATCTTCCAACACACCAACACCTTTCTTTCAGCTGTTTAATTTCATTACCTCTCCTTGGACGTACTGGTAAAAAAATGAGGGGGGAAAATAAAGTAATTGGTGATTAATACAGCCAAGCTGATGTGACTAGAGGCTCAGAGTGCCATTAATCAGTGTAATGATTTCCAACATTATCTCCTCCCCCGTCAGTATATCTCAAAGTATTTCCCAGTGGCAGCATGGACCTTTGTACACTGAACAAAAGCCCATTGACAGCAGGCTTGTTTTCATTATTTTCTCGTGATGGACCCCTTTTAAGTTGTCTGTGGTTAAAAATCATTGCTTTAATACAATCTCTGTTTCCCCTGTACATCTTTTCTTGGCACCTCCTGACACTGGACTAGCAGATGCTCCTGAATTCACATTGGTCACATCAACTTTTGAAAATCATGTTCACACTGGGCTCCCAGCAACGGTGATCATCCAACTTAAGTCAAGGACTCTGCTAAACTGCAAATGCAGCCAGAGGGAAAGTTTTCCAATATATTATCAGCTATTCCCCACCAGCTGACAAAGACTCTAGAGGATCTCTGATATGAGGTCAACAAGGAACAAAATTTCAAGGTTAATACTCAGAATTCAATGATATCTACAAGAAATTCTGACAGAAAATAAGCTGGGCTTATGAGGAAAATACAAATTATCTAAATTAATTTAAGTAGAAAAAAAATCTAGTTTAGTTTGTGATGAAAGTTAAGAATAGAGCTGACTAAATGGAACATTTGTTTCAAGATTACCAGGAACACTCACATGCTTGTCCCATACCACAACTCCACTATTTGTGCATGATGTCAGCAAATCGAAAATAGCTCCTTCCCCTAGCAAAATAATAGTAAGAGGAAGCATTTATCTTTGATACTGGAATTATTACTTCCTTATAAGCTGTTTCCTCTAACTGGACTATTCTGTACTCTAATTGATTATAGCTTGCAAGATAATACTTCTGAATATATTTTCTCTGGAAGTTAGACATCAACTTCTTTGACTGACTAGATATGCCCAGCATTATTTATTTATTTTTATTCATACAAGAATTCTTACAAAAAGGTGTTTTCCTGACTTTTCATATTCATGAGTGTTGCTGCCTACAGGCTTCTCTAGACAGTGTACCTCTAACAAGAATGGAAAAAAATGAAACACCAACAGCACTAAAGCTAGGACACATATGAGACAAAAACATACTAAACTCCACACATAATGTTACTAAAGAAATTTCAGAAAAACAGGTGGCTTGATCCAGGTGTCTGCGGCTACACTCCCAAATCTTCAACTGTCAGCTGTAGCTCCAACTGAGTCAAGCTAATTGGCTAGGTTTATTGGATGATATTTTCAAACTTTAAAATGAAAATTACTCCTTTGAATTTAAAGGTAACTAAAAATCTAGATACCCTACACACGAAAGCCAACATTAGGATTCATTTTTGTCACAACTAGGGCCCACTTAACTGATGGATAAATCTCACAGGAAAAAAGACAGAAACATAATAATTAGATCATCTCCCTGTTCACACCGATATGTTAGCAGCGAGTGCAATTATGATAATAAAATGAAATGTATACAAAGGTTTTATAAAAATCAGTATACGCGGTACAAATTAGGGGGAGATTAACAGTGAGCATTTTAAAACAAGAGGCAATCAATGACTGAAATTACATGTACTAGTTCTACCAATCTGTCAGCAATAGTGATCTGTGAATTTGGAAATTTAGCTAACTCTCACAATCAATACCCCAGCCCAGAAAAACATCAGTGGTCACTGGCCCCAGAAGTGTCATTGGTTTTCCGATAAGTAGTATATTCTGCACAATGAAAGCATTTTCAGAGCTTTTGTAGTGTCTGAGCAACATTTCTTGGTACTTCCATTAGTAAGCATCAAAAGAATCAATTGAGACACAAAAATGTATTTTGTCCTAAAACACAAACTGGACTACTAAAGTAACTCATTGACTCATGACTAGCTTTCCTTAAATTTACTTTGTATGGAAAATTAAACACAGTTTAAAGAAATCTTACCATCATGAATCTCAAATGCCAAACTAGTGATCTTCTGTGTAATTATCATCATTGGACTGTTACAAAAAAGGAAGAAAGAATAATTTAGAAAAAAGTTCAGCATTTTCTTTCACATGTAAATATCAGGGAAAGTTTATACTAATAGTCCAGGTTAATTACTCTCAGCTGGAAGATTTTCAATGCAAGGACAAAGTGATTAGTTTTTGGAGCTCAAACCATTCATTCAACGTAATGAAAAGAATTTAATCCTTAGATACAGTATTTGATAACCCATGCCTTTTATTGCTGCATTAGGCTCCACAAAGACAACCAAAGTGTTTCACATTCATTTTCTACTAACAGAGTTTATTTTTTTTTACAGTGGGAAGAGTAAAGAAAAAAGGGCAGTAAGAGCAATTATATGCATTGTTAATTACAGCAGCAGTAAGCAAAGGACAATAAAAATATACCAAAGTTGAACAGTACTATAATTTATTTAGATATGCAGACCACTTCCACTGTTTCTACTAACACCTGGTCCTATGCTTAATTTTTCCATCTACAATTATTATATGCTTCAAGTAAATATATCTGGCAAAACAAAAACCCAACATAATTATGCTGGCTCCAACTAACAGAGTTTAGTTAGTTTTGAATTTGGTACCCTTGAGTGGATCTTAAACTGTCAAAGAGATATTCTTCCCTGGCTAAGCAAGTCAGCTTTACACTGAGAAATTGTACCATCTTTGTAGTATCTAAGAGTTTTTGACTGATGTAAATCCCAGCATTGCTAACCCCCTATCTGGTGGGAAGGAGGGGATAGGGGAAAGCATAAAGTAGGCTACCAGAATTTAGAAATTTAACTTTGAAATCAGATCTCAGAAATATATCAGGGACTGTATTTACCCAGTAGTATCTGAGCTGGAGACAAAAAAAAACACCCCACAACAAAATAATCATACTGTAGGATGGGCACATAGTTTTGTTCAAGTGTTTTGACTGCACTTGGCCTTTTTACATTTAAGTTGGCACAGAAAAACAAATCCAAGAGCCATCAAGTCTTCCTTCATTGACAGGGCTATGCCAGTATTTTGCCAGATGGCTCAGTCTGTCAAACTAATTTTTTTTTTAGGTTATGGTTATTTCAAAGCACACAAGATTTCCAGTCCTCAAAATGCAATCAGGGAGAAAGTTTTTTCTACTGTATTATCAGCGCCCCAAAATCCTGATATCAAGACTAGAGTGACAGGCAAGGGTCAGCAAGGAAGAAAACTGAACAAGAACAGACAGTCTGGGAAATCCCTCATATCTCTTTCTAGCATTTAAGCTGTAGACCTGTCTGGTGCTGGCAGAAATCTCCAACTGATTCTGAACATAATGGGTTTTCCTTCTGTAAGTGGGCATGTGACAGCATGGATCCTGCCTGATGGAAGGATGGAGCCCAGGAGGAGCTCAGTCAGACCTTACATTAATTCTAGCTGATACATCCATCATTGTTATCATCGCAGACCCCGGCATTTTTTTTTTCTTCTCAAGTGGCTATTCCAGTATCTTCAGAGATTTGGCTAAGGAGCAACAATCTAGAGACTAAAAGAGGAAGAGTCCTTCCTGGAACAGTGAGGCTGTGAACCAGGATTTTAACAAAATCCCTTTTAAGTGCTGGCAGAAAGGCAAAGGAGGCAGTGGAATGCTCACTGGCAGCTGGGATGTGTTAGCACTGAAGCCAGGACCACACAGCTCTGCACAAGGAATTGCACCTCCAGCATGAGGTCTCCTCAGCTTTCTCCACTGTCAATGCATTGATACTTTCTTTCAAACTTTTTGCAGATTCTCTGGGCTTGGACACCTCAGATAGGCATGGCATGCTAGGAGAAATGTCTAGGTAAACAGACATTCAAAGCTCTTTTGGGGCTAACCACTATATGAATCCACACCAATATCTTTGTAAGAACTTGCTGGTGCTGGTGTTCAACAGCTGGTTAGGCAACTTCTGTTATTTTCTTGAGCTTAACTCTTCCCCTGGAACTAGAGAAAATTGACAGAAAATAGCCCCCTTCGGTTCATTTTCTTTCTCCTCCTGTTTTGGAAGTAACCTCTGTCTCAGGCCTCAAGGGAGCAGATGCAGTATATGCCAGAGATTTAACATGATATGCATAAATCAAGCTCCCCAACTGGCACATGAAAGGATGGTTTAAATCAGGCAGCTCAAACATACAATCAGAGTTGGATCTAGGCTTCAGAACAATTCTATCCAGAGCACAGATCTCAAATGTTTGGATGTGTTTAAGACCTAGCAGAAATCTCTGAGCTAACACCAAACTAACAGAGCCACAAAGACAGCCGCTATCTGAAAGCGGTACAGTCTCATTTGAGCAATGGTGTACTCAAGCTCTATTAATGGTTTGAGAGCAGCAACAAACAAGTGCAGTTACACTGTTTCCAGAGTCAGCTCAGAGCTTTGGTCACTGCCAAGGTTGTAGGCTTTGGCCCTACAGTGAACTGGAATGGACAGCATTTGGATTATAGTTCCACTTGTAATGGTGAAATTTAATTCAACATCTGTAAACCTAGTTTTAAAGTGTCTTTAGGCACACGTCTATGTTGCAAGCTCCCATTATAGCCAGCGGAGATCTAGTCAATAGAGTCAGGGACATCTGATAAGTGACCCAGTTCACGCTAAGGTAGATACTTAGCAGTGGGTCAGCTGAAATGCTCTCCAGGCTCTGTCTACATTGATCAGATCTCCACTGACTACAATCGGATATCTGGCTTGAAGGCAGGCACTTTGATGTAGGCATAAATGCAGAAAGATGTTTCAAGAAGGTAAGACCCAGCTAAAAATGACAGAAAAGATTAACTTAACCATAAAAGCTTTTGGCTTCAGCCCAGAAGTTAAGCTTCTGGACTACATGCCTGTTACCAAGGAAGACTGAGAAGCAACAAGGCTAACAAGCACAACTCTACTACACAACACAGGTAATACTGAACTACAAAGACCACTGCCATTCATAGTATTCCTGAAAAGTATTTAATGTTTTGGGGTTTTTTTTGTTTGTTTGGGTGTTTTGTTTTTGTTTTTGTTTTTGTTTTTAAGATGACTAGCAAACACTCCCCTTCTCTTTTTTTCCAAAACACATACTCTCCTTTAAATCAACAAAAGCACCATCACAGTAGCAAACTTATTTATAGGAAATGCTGTGCTTCACTTCTCTGCGCCTGAGGTACAAAGAAGAATCACCAATATGGTTTATTTTTACTTTGCCTATTTAATTCTGTTTTGCTCCTATACAGCTCAAGTCAAATATAGGTTTGAGTTCATTGTATAAAATGAGAACACATATAGACAAAACTTTCCATTTCCAAGGGCTGTGTGACTACTCCACCATATAAGTGCCTCTCTCCTTAGCTTTTCCTTCTGGAACATCTAACAAAACCAAAAAACAAAGCAGCTAAAAGCTAAATTCCATAAAACATTCAGATTTTCCTCACAAAGTGGTATCAGACTGTGCCAGGCATGCAAGTACATCAGATACAATTCAAGCTTCATCATGGGTGGTAACAGATTTTAGGGGAAAAAGCAAAAGCAAAAGAATCCCACAGCCACCAAATCCTTTATGCCCTTCAGACAGGAACAGGAGGCAGCAGATAAACGCATTCACGGTTCTAACAGACACAACTGTTCCCAAAATTCTCAGTTTGCATGATTAAAGCATAGGTACATATATATTTGTATGTGTGCCAATATGCACACACATGCCCAGCTTTCTCCCAAAGTTTAAAAGGTTGACACACTTAACTTGGAAAAAACCCAGTAACAGATACAGTATCACTTAGGAGAACAAGATGGAAAGATTATTTTTCTCCTTACCCAGAAAAATCAGCAGAATACTGTCCATAATCAAAGATATAGACTCTAGTAATTTGGCACACAGTGAGGTATCCCAAAGCAAAAACAAAGCAATACCTGGAAGGAAAATGGAAAAAAAAGCTTTTCAATTAAAAACCATAAACATTTCTCCATTGACTAAGCTACCTTTTAAGTAGAGTTTAGTCTCCAACTATTTCTAGTGAATATTACATAATTGGACTGTGTAATTACACCTTCATTCTGACTGGTTTTTTGGTAATATTTGTTCTATGCAAGCACAGACTAAGACTTTTATTTTAGAAATACTACTGTCACTAGCCAAATTATTTATTCACATAAAGAAAGCATAGGATTTATAATTTCAAGCACCACTGTAAAAAACTAAGTCCTATAAAAAGAAAATGAATCTGTGAAGCTTTTAGTTCAAAGTTAATTTTTGTCTACATAAGCATAGAAATTTGGCAAATTATACATCAAACATCATTTCCATTGAATGTATTTCTATACATTCAAAATTCAGCACCACAAATCCCACTGCTGCTGTTTTCAAAGGAACTGGAAAAGGCAATTAATTTTCAAATACACACATTAAAACATATCTGAGTGAAAAAGGAACAGGATGCCTCCTGTTAAAGCTGATCCTCAGCAAATGTAAGAAAAACACAGATAAGAACCACCTTATATAAGTATTATAACTTTAATTTCACATATTTTTTTCAGGTCAGGGTTGGGACTTTTTTTTTACCCCCCCTTTGTAAGATGTACAACAGTATACTAATGAGAACTGATTTGCCAATACACCTCAAAATCTGCCAGATATTCTTTACAGTCAAAAAGGATGGTGAATGGCAGCAGGAACTTAACTAATCCTCTAAGACTTTATGTATGAACTTCACAGTCTTGAACTTTTCCATATAACTTAGGAAACATTCATGGTAATGAAATCAAACACTTGTGTAATGTTCACAAGACTAATGTGCAATCCCTACAGCAGACCATATTATACATTCAAAATCCAGTTAGAAGGAAAATATTCATACACCAAATGGGAAATCATAACTAGGGCTGGATTTAGGTGAAACAGTGAGGGACACTACAGGAAGAGCTTGGAACATGCTTTTCCTTTCTTTTCCAAATAACTGTTTTTGCAAAAAAAGTGTTAACATAATAAATTCTACAGTCTTAGAAATTATTCTTCAATCTGAAAGTGATACCTGTTTTTGCCACACAGAACACTTGCAGTTTAACATTTAATTAAGAATTGTGTTAGATATAAGCCATTTAATATTTTAAAACATCCAACTTTCAAATTACAGATTACCTTATATCTCAGTAGCTACATTAAACCACACTTGTTACTTTAAAAAAAAAGTTTAGGGTGCCTGTTTTAGCAATAGTTTATTTTCTGTTTTCATGAATATTAATAATCCAGAAACAGTATTATATTGGGTGGCTAATTGGTACAGAAGTGTTTATAATAAGAATCCAACAAAATTACACAATATTTGGCTCAAAATTATACCAAATTATTTCAGCAAGAAAAACAATTTAACACAATTAAGTAGTATGTAGTGGACTGCAGCTATCAGGAGTATGATATAAGGTAAAACCCTTTTTAAAAAGTTTGGAATTAAAATTTTCCTGAGATATTTTAAGAAAAACTACCCCCCCCCCAAAAAAAAAAGTCACCCAGGTTTCACATGAATGAGGAGTATGTGGGTTTAGTTTGCCCACGCTGAGATCAGTCCCAGCTCTTCCATTCACTAAAAAGTCAGTATGATTTTCAGCTTTACCAGCCTCTTGATTTACATACTAAACAATCCTAGATTACAAGTAACTTGTTATGTGTAGAGATACCTACATACCGACCCATAGATACCACACTAAAAAGCAAAGAAAAATTAAAATGCTGTAGTTTTCTTTACAAGACTCTTATTTCGTCCTCACTGGCAAGATCATGTATTTATTAACAGCCTATTCACAGTATATTGCAATAGGTCCAAAATAAACAGAATTACAAAAATGATGCTAAACTACAGCTTTCATAACTTAACATGCTATCCATAGCAGCAATACATACTTTGTTGGGACAAGAAACTCACTTAAAAAATTAGTGGATTGGGTTTAGTGGATTAGGTACACACTCTCAGATAGAAGAAAACAGACACCAGTTTCTACATCATACAGTTTGTCATAAAATATTTATGCTGTTTTTAAACAAGACATTATGAAGACTCCCTTTTGCAAGCAGAAAAACTAGGCTAAGTACAACTGAAGATAAACTACCAAATATCCTAAAAGAAGAAAAGCACTGGGAAGTCAGGAAACCTTAGGTTCTTTTCTATGTAGTCATTATGATACAATCTTGCAGCATTATGTGAACATGCAACTGCAAATTCCTGTCTCATTGCAGAAACAGGTCATTATCCTGGATATTTTCCAAAGGCTTTGCATTCAAGTTCAAGACACATCCAGTGATTTTACTTATTGCATACTTTCCACATGCTGAACTCAAGGAGTTTGGGATTTCCCCATGAGCACTTCCTCAGTTATTCTCCATGTATTCAAGTGTTTCATAAAAACTGCATTCCTCTTTAAGATGAGTTTTAGTGATACATGGGTCTGAACACAAAACTGGGGAGATGCAAGGTCAATTCTTGGGTGAACTTATCTTTTTTTAAAGGATGGCAGAAAGGATGCCAGCAGTACATTTCAGTCGCACACGCACACACAAGTGCTCTGTACTTCTACAAATCTAACCACAGGTGTTCCGTGAAAGTTTATATTTGTAGCCAACACAAGCAGTTTAAAACACATTGTAGTGTCCTGCACTTAGGAACACAAACTGAGGCAGCAATGTTACCCAATTATGGAACAGTGAAATGTGTAGGGCAGTTTAAAGGTTACTTCTTCACTTGCAGGTTCCTGTGGCTTAAATGCCTTCCAACTCCTACAGCAAGTTAACTTTCTACAATGAAATGACTGGCCTGGTAGATGAGGGGAGAGCAGTGGATATTGTCTACCTGGACTTCAGAAAAGCTTTTGACACTGTCTCCCATAAGATCCTCATAGACAAGCTCACTGGATGAGCAGACAGCGAAGTGGATTGAAATGGAGTGACTACATCAGTGGACAAGGGAAGAGCTACAGATGTCGTCTATCTGGATATTCTGTAAGGCCTTTGACACGGTCTCCTACAACATCTTTCTCTCTAAAGTGGAGAGGTATGGATTTGATGGGTGGACTGTCTTGTGGGTGAGGAATTAGTTAGATGGTCACATCCAGAGGGTAGTGGTCAACGGCTCAATGTCCAGATGGAGATTGGTGACGAGTGGTGTCCCGCAGGGGTCCGTCTTGGGACCGGTACTGTTTAATATCTTCATAAATGTCACAGACAGTGG